CATTTTGGAATTCTGAAACGACGTACGTCATTTTGGAATTCTGAAACGACGTACGTCAATTCGGAATTGACGTGAATTCCGAAACGACGTATAACATATCGATATCGATATACTGTATCGATATATGTTAGTTGTGCGTTACAAATAAGCTTTTACATATCGATATCCATTTAATCCATTCATTAAGATTTTAGTAAAATCATTATGTGACTATATAACGATAAGCACACCTCCGAGGGTGTGAATATATGGCATTTATTTTAACAATAGTAGCATTCTAAAAATATAAATACTATACTAAATTCAGAGAAAATATAACAACTAGGATTATTACTATTAACATGGTTGGGTTGTTTGCTATGGCTGGGTTGCTGTTTGCAGAGATAGTAAATCCTGGCGAGGTCGAAGACTCTGATGTTGATGTTCGCGTTGATGTAACATCTGTTGGTGTCAAATTTGCTGTTTTTGTGGGTGATGCCCCTGTTGATGATGCGGATCCACAACCGTCGCTGAGGCAAACTTGACCCGACCTACAGCAATAACCGTCTCCGCAATTTACAGTGGTGGCGTTACAGCCACCGCTACATATGTAAGTGGATCCGTATGGTATGCACGTTTCGTCGCTGCGACAACATAAATTACTGTTTGAACATACGTGACCTCCGACTGTTGGGCAACGAGAATCTCCAGATGTTGATGTCTTTGCTGGTGGTGGTGCCACTGTTGTTGGTGATGATGATGATACATCACAATAGCCGTCGCTGCCGCAAGTTTGACCCTGCTTACAGCATTTACCGAATCCACAACTTACAGGATTGGGACCACAGCCACCGCTACATGTTCCACCTGATTGACAAAGTGTACCGCTGGGACAACATCCATCGCTATTTGAACATGCGTAATATCCGGATGGGCAAACGTCATCCCTTGCTTCCAGATGTGATTTTTTGACGATTGTTTGCTCAACTTGCTTATACCTAAGAAGACTGTCAGCCGTTCCGTTTCTTCTCGAGAGTGTTTCCGTGCGAAGTTTCTTTCCAAGAAGGTATTCAAGTGGATCTCTTTTCCATTTCAAGGGCGCCGTAGCAAAAGCAAAACTACTGAAGGTTACAATGGTAAGAACGAGTATTAAACTAAGATTATTCATAACGAATTTGAATGATTATACTTTGTGGGCGGATATAGAATTAGTGAATTCGAAGTCGATATCGATATGTATTTATAAGTGAATGGATGGTTATAATGCGTAACAATACGTAACGGTAAATATATCGATGACAAAAAATTGTGTGCATGTGCATTTTCCTTTAAGCGATAGATCAGCTGCTGTTAATTTAAGTTTGAACGTACGAGGACATGCATTTCTGTACAATATGAAATACTTTTCTCTTTCTCATATGAAAAATTCCTATGCCTCTTCATTATAATCATTTTTTAATACTTGTCGTCTGTAACGGCAAGATAAGATTTGGAATTTCATTTATGTACTTGCCGCCAAACCTGATGCAGAGAAGATACAAAACAAAAAAAAACTTGATTTTAACATACGTATTGTTCGCAAGTGAAACTTGATAAACCGGAGGATCCCGTCCGTCAATTAGGAGCAACATTTTTGATTTATCGAGTAGAATTTTCTGTTTGATACAAATTGTCATTATCTTATTTCCTAAATCATCCTGGCTAGAGATGGCGCAGCAAGTACGTGACGCTTATTTGTCACCTAGTTGCAACACGTTGCAACTAGGTGATGCTTTATTTGTCACCACGTTGCAACAGTTGCCGCGCCATCTTTAATCCTGGCAACAATAAAAATGGTCACTTTACTGTTATTCTCTTTCGCACGCAAAAAAAATAACACGGTGACAAAACGGAAAAATAATTTTTTAAGTAATGGAACAATTGTGAATTGGAATTTAGCCTATAACGATAAATAATAATCGCTATTAATAGGCACGTTTGTGTAATTCTTGCATTCTAGAAATTTTTTGATACATGTTTGTATGACGAGCTAACTGATAAGAAATTTTTGACACATGAACATGTACGTATTATGTACATGTTTGTATGACTACGAGCCAGCCACTTGAATTAAAAAGAATACATTATGAAAATTAAGGCGGAAAAACAATTATCAATAGCTGGTTCACAACTGCAGCATTGATTCCATGAGAGGGTGGGTCAACAGAAACCAAGCAAGTCAATCTTGCTGATTTGTTTGATTCTATCGACTTACCCTCGTATAAACTCACTAATTCCAGTATAACATCCAAACACTTTTCAAATTCGTCATGAAGAATCTTAATTTGATACTTTTCTCACTATTATAACTTCGCTTTTGCTACGACGCCCTTGAAATGGAAAAGAGAACAATCGCTTCTCGCGACATTGTCCAGCAACGACACCTCATCTTCCTCATATTTGAAAGCAAGGCTCTCACTTGTCCAATGGCAGAGCTCACCTATGTCCGACAGTTTGGGATGCTGTCGCAGCGGCCAAACTTGCATACCATACGAATCTACTTACAAATGTAGCGGTGTATGTGGCGTCGGTACTGTAGCTTGCGATAACAGTTTTTGCTGTGCGGCGGGCGAAATTTGCGGCAGCGACAACTATTGTGGAATAGCAACAATGTCAGTATAATTATCAACAAAGATATCATCATTGGCGACATCAACACCAAACCGACATCAGTAGCGACAACGACAAGAACGACCACTTCGAATGGATTACCTATCCCAACAATCCATCGGGATTTCTCAGCAGCCATAACAAACAGCCCAGCCATGTCAATAACAATTAACTTAGTTGTTCTAGTTCTCTAAATCTAGTATAATATGCAATATTTCTACCATTATTCTTAAATCATATACTACAATATTATCATTGAAAATATAACCCATTTTTACGTTAAAAATGTGTATTTTTGCTCGAGTCACTTTTACTGATATCTTAATTCATGTTTTATTAAATAGAACTGTTAAAGTTTGTCTTATTAGTGATTAAATTCCATTATCCGACCATCCAACCATTTTTCAATAAACTTCCGTTCGGATGATGGGTTGATAGGTTGTAACACTATGTTTTATGAATAACTGTGCACGAATAGAATTCTTATACTTGTTCAAGGCAGATGAATAAGTTTATAATTTCAACATTTATAGAGCGTTAGTCTTTGAAGTTGTCGCCAATTCTTTCAATAAATGCTGTCATCAAATATTACGAGGTAAATGCATTTTTTATAAACATTTATGTGTTAAATCATTGTCCGAAAAAGTTTTAAGCTTGGCAAATAAAAATTTCTTAAGCTGTATTTTGATGTGTCTAATCACGGCCAAGATATCCGCCATGGTTTTTAGTTAATTAACAGTATGAGTACGTTTTCTGCTCGTGATGTATCCTTTTACAAAGCAATTTTGAAATGATAAAGGTTGGTTTCCTTCACAGACGAATTTTTACTTATAACTTTTATTTACACAGTAAAGAACATAAAATTTCTAAGATTTGCAAAGCCCGTTTCTGCTCATATCAAGCTTTGCTATTATAATTTATCGTGAATATTGTTGGAAACGCAAAAATGAACCACTAGATGATCGTCATGTAAAACCTACGGTCAAATTTGGTGGCGGAAGTATTATGATCTGGGGTTGCTTTTCTTCCTTCGGCGTTGGTAACATCATACGCATTTTTGGCACATAGATAAGGAATTATACTGCGAAATTTTGAATGATGACATGTTATGAACTATTGAGCATTACGAGATGTATAAGAATAATATCGTTTTCCAACAGGATAACGAACTGAAGCACACGGCTAATTTAACGGAGCAATGATTTTACGATAATGATATTGAGGTATTAGAATGGTCACTACAATCCCGACCTCAACCCTACAGAACATCTCTGGAATGAGATGGATATACGTTTGAGAAGGTTAGAAAATCCAGTTCATACTCAAGATGAGTTATGGGAAGCTATTCAAAAAATATGGATAAAAACAAAGCATAACTTTTTAACTAGTCTAATTGAAAGTATGCCCGAACGAATAAATGATGTAATTGAGGCTAAAGGAGGTTATACAGAGTAGTACATTTAAATTTCGTATATTTTTAGTCGTTATTTATTTAAATATCGGTTTTAAATTATTTGCATCGTAACGGTAAACAGTCAAAAAAAAAACGCATCATGTAAAATTGCATCGATCATTATTATTTCAATTTAGTGATTATCATTACATGTTTTGCAACAATATGCGTCAGAATTTGGGAGTTTCAGAATTTACAATTTTATTTTTTGTGTGATGCAAAACATTTGACGGCCACTGTAAACTTGATAAGGATATGAAATTACAAAAAACAATTCCTACGAATATGAACAAAAAACAAGCAATTCAACTGACACAGGTACTTTTTTTATTTCTAAATATAAATCATATTAACTTTTAATTAAATTCATATCGAATGTTTAGGGTTGGCAAGTGTCAGTTTGTTTGTTCCAAATGTTATATTTAATATTGTTTTTTATTGACTTAATTAATTGGGCACTATTTTTTTTTGTGGTGCAAAACAGATTTCGATGTTAACGTTAGTATCCAAAGAGAATGAAGTGATTTGCAAGAAAAATGATGAAATATCATGCTCTTTATTAAATAAAATTGGTAAGCATGACTTTATATATGCGTTATTGTTATTTAATAGAGTAAAATTAAGATATTTTTGACAAATTTATTTTAAAACTTGTTGAAATAGCTCAAAATTATTCTTAAAAATTTTTCACTATGAAGAATCAGTATTTTTCTAAGTAAACGCGCTTATATTTTTTTTAATCTGTTAATTTAGCGTCAGAGATTATCCTGAACAATGATAGAACAACAAATTATCATTCATCATTTCCCAACCCAAAAACGTCGTTGGAGTCAACAAGTACAATTCCTCCTTCACCAAAAAATAAGACAAGCGAAAGCAATCTTATGCTACAATAATCACATCAATTATATTAATTGTGAGAGATCATGATGAAAATTTGCAATATCTATTATTAATAAACTATAAATAACAATTATACTAATAAATTTATATAGTATTTAGCAATATAAACATTATTTTAAGTTATATATTTTATGCATATATCATTATTTTCAAAATATTGTAAGAAATTGTCGATAATTCTGGCCAAATGATCCCATGATCCGCACAATTTGGCCAAAATTTTACCGTAATCCATTTTTCATGATCAAGAAGTAGAGACAATAATATCGATATAGACATAGTGAAACAATTATTAATGGAACCCAATAATATCGATATGCCACGTCAAAAAGATATTAAAATAGCATTCCTTTTATAAAATTAAAATAGCTCATAATGTAATAGTATTATCTTTGATAACCCTCAAAGTTTATTCATATTCTCGTTTAATTCATTTTGTAATAATCAACAAATATAAAACTAATAATAATAAAGATTGATACATACGTACATTGATTTTTATACTGTGCTTGAACCGATTAAGACTTGCGTGATCAGAAGAATCATAAGCAATACATTTAGTAACAGTAATAAAGAAATTCATATTCTATTAGCAACTAATAAATAAACTAGTACATAATAATATAAGTCTCCAGGTTATTCAATCAATCTATCGCTATGTTAAGCAAGCTTACTTTGTCAACCTCTGTAGAAAGGTGTCATAATAGTATTTACATGTGAACCTCTAAAGGATCCCGCTTTTCCTAACAGTTTCCTGTTTATATCGATTACAAAAAAGTGCTCACTTTCTTGTACAAACGGCACGTTGATATTAAAGGTACAAATCAGTAGCAGACAAGAACTAGTGATGATATGCTTACATTGGTTTACTGAAAGAAAAATTAGTCAAAAATAGAAGAAAAAAAGAAAATTTCAGCTTTATTTTCGTAATACTATAATAAAATGTCTTTACACTATTTTACATTGTATAATTAGAAACTGCTTCAATCAACACCTTACATACTAGCCATATAACTCATAGCTTAGTCATGCTCAATTTACATGTAATTAAATCCACAAATTCTACGAGAATTTGTGGAATACATAAATGCGTGTGTACATTAGTTTACAAAGTAAAATAGAATTTGATGACTGTACGAATTGTAGTTTTTTTCCGTTTCAAACTTTTTAACTAGAAAAACAAAATAAATTAAATCAGTTAAAAAGTTAAATATAAATCACCTCTAACAAAATTGTACTCGTTAATCTGACTGAAAGGAAGCTAGGCCTCGCGTAACCAATATGAAATTCTTGTATTTCAAAACACCCTCTGCATTCAGTTATAGGAGTTGAATGGTTGCAGGAAATAATTTAAAATTCCTGTAGCACATTCTGCATCACATTTTTGGAGTATTAGTCATCGGTGGAAGTTCTATTATTTCTTAGTATTAGTATTGCTGTATTGAATTTTATTTTTCTTGAATAACATTTATTTGCCTTTTTTTTATTAATTCGGAAATTCAGTTAATTCAACTAACAAAATTGAAAGATAAAAATTAATTGTTTTATAAAATAAAAATGCAAACGAAAAATTAACACTCGTTTTATTGTTACAATGTATGGAAATAGTATAATCTTATCACTATAAATTTTTAAAGAAATAACTGTTTAAAATAAATATTTTTCTATTTTCGCAATTCTTTTTTATTAATGAAATCCAAAATTATTCAAATTCTTGATTGATTTTCAAATATCTTCAAATTTTTATTATTTTCTAAAGACAAAACTTATTCCATCCTTGGGTTTCTTGATTAATTTTAAATTTTTTTTTATGGAACATGGACAGAAAAGAGTTTTTTCTTCTGAACATAACTTTTTTTTATTAAATACTTTGCATTCTTATTAAGCAATTTTTAATTTTTTTGAAATACAGTCAGCACGGAAGCAATGGCGGACAAATTTTTCCAGAAATAAAATTAAATAATAAAACAAAAAAAAATTATTTCCGAAATGTGATTAAGCAAAGCAACATGCGCACATAAAATATTGAATTATTTCCTCCTTTCTTGTCAATACAAACGTGACAGCTAAAGATCCGATTTACCCACACATTCTCTATCACTGCGATAAAAGCTTTCTGTGACACCGATTTTTTTCTTGAGTGACAATTTTTTCAACATTCCGTTAAGAAATGACCAGATGTTTTCGATCGGGTTAAGATCGTGGGTGAAATTGCATTGTCATAAGAATTCGCCAATCCATGTTTTGTGTAAATGTGCACACACCAAACTTTGACACGTGTACCAATCACACTAATTGCAGGGTTGTTTCGTCGAAGAATACAAACTTGCGCCAGTTATAAGCGATATGATTGTCTGTCTATTGAAATCGGTCTTTTTTTGACTTGTGGGGTGAGAAGAGGAACACGTTTTGGCAAGGACGTAACATAACCGATCCTAGAAAGCTCGTCACAGACAGTTTGCACACTTACTTCGAACCCTGGATGTGTTTCTTCGAGCCGCGCTTTGATTTCAGCCGCCATAGAATTTACGATTTGACCGATGTAGCGGCGCATAGCAGACGAAATTTTATATGGACGGCCAGGACGACATCCAGAATTTGTCCATCTTTACGAAGCGAAGCTTAACGTTCACAAGAGCGAAGTGGAATACTAAGTTTTTTCCAGCTATTTCGCAAAAATCTTTACGGTCTCACAATTGAATTTTACGGGGTTGTCAGACATTTTTAAAGGTAATAAAAATCGTTTTCGGTTGCAAAATAAATAATGATGTGCAACCAGTGTTGTCAACTGGACATAATCCAATATTGCACCATTGGAATTAGTAATTTTATAAGTCCAATCCAGTAACTTCTTCGGCTACCTTTTAGTTCTTTCCTATTGCCAGCGTTCTTCCTCTGATCGTCTTCACATCCTACATTGGTTATATCATCATTGAGTGTGTTATTTTTATCTTAATAAAGATAAGGCAGGATCTTGTACAACAAATCATTGGTCATACATGTACGTATACGTAAAGATCATCTAACTACTTTTCACATCTAATTTTCATTCTACAAACTATGTCTAAAGTTTATCAAAAAATAGATATTAACAGTTTAGATTTCGAACGTTCCTATACCCTCAAAGAATTTGAGTTAATCAATAAACAGCTCAAGACACATTCCTTAGAAATTGACGGAAAATCAGTCGATCTCTTTGAACTCGATGCAAACGGCAAGCTACTCCCTATGCCGCAAGCAACTATTGGTATGGAAGTTGTTGTTCAAGAAATCGGGGGTCA